TTTTGGGGGGGCGTGCAAAATGTTTTGATTTTTTTTTTCTCTCCCTTAAAAATTAAAAAAAAAAAAAAAAAAGAGAGATCTGCTGAGATCTACAGAGAAAATGGCCCTGCCTGCCCCCAGCCTGCCAGCACTGACAGAAAACAGGCAGCAAGGGGCTGCTTTGCGCATAAGAAATAAAAATGCTCGGCGCCAGGGCGCCGGTGTTAAACCCCCCGGGGCTCTCCCGGCTGCTGATCCCCACCACCGCCCGCCTGTCGTGCGCTCTCGTTCCACGTGAGCGGACAATATTGCCTGCCCGGCCGTTAACATTTGCAATTAGGCGTCTATAAACACGCCGACGCGTGGCTGGGTGGCTGGCGTTTATGGCTCGTGAATCAAAGCTGCCCAGCCCTGAGCGGGTGCCTGGGCAGAGCAGGACAGGGCGTGAGTTTGCAGAGAAAGTTTTGCTGGAGATTTAACAGGAGGAGAGCAAACGCGAGCGGTTTTGTGGCTCGTGTTGGCCCCCCCCCCTCTCTCCCCGCAGGACTGTGTGCAGCTCAACCAGTACAAGCTGAAGGATGAGATCGGGAAGGTGAATATTGGCTGGGTTTGGGGTGGGACGGGGGGATTCAGGGTGGGAAGGTGGTGGGCTTGCTTTTGCTGTCGAGCCGGTGAGATGGCAATTTCAGTTGCTCACCACGGCAACTCAGCTGGCTCCTTGCTGTGATGCCGGTCTCTTCTGGGTGATGCCGATTGAATTGTATATATACATTTTTTTAATTATTATTAATTTTCCCCATTCCCCCCCCTCCCACGAAATGGGGCATTTGAAGCTTTTCTTTGCCAGTGGTGTGATGCCAGCCCATGTGTCCCACTACCCCCGGCATCACCCGCCAGCTCCGTGATCCCAGTGGGGCCGGGTTTGCGGAGGAGCCCGGAGCCCGGTTTGGTGCTGTGGGTTTTTTTTGGACTGCCCCTAACTGGTCCCCATGGCTGTGCCCCTCTCTAGGGCTCCTACGGGGTGGTGAAGCTGGCCTACAACGAGGACGATAACACCTACTATGTGAGTAGTGCACGTCCCCAGAGCCCGCAGTGGGGCGGGTGGGATGGGGGACGGGGACGGATCCTCTCTGCTGACTCCCTGCCCAGCTCCGTGCCGGCCCCCTCCCGCCAGCTCTGTTTTGTCCTTGATTTGCCCCAAATTCTACATTTTTTTCCCCTCTTGCAGGCAATGAAGGTTCTCTCCAAAAAGAAGCTGATGAGACAGGCGGGCTTCCCCCGTAAGTGGCGCAAAAGCTTTAGGCTGGGAGATGACCTGGGGACGCCGGGGGCTCGTTCCCAACCGGACACCCCGTCTTTGCCTTTCCCGCAGGTCGCCCACCGCCCCGCGGGGCCAAGGCTGCCTCCGAGGGCTGCCTGCAGCCCAAAGGGCCCATCGAACAGGTCTACCAGGAGATCGCCATCCTGAAGAAGCTGGACCACCCCAACGTGGTGAAGCTGGTGGAGGTGAGCGCTGGCTAGCCCATTCCCGAAGCCCACCCCGAGCCTGGATGCTGCGGGGATGGGCTACACGTTGGCTTGGGCAGAGGGGAGTGACCGCAGAGAGGCTGGGATGGCTGTGGCAGGTCCTGCCTATGGGAGACTCATGTTTTCCTTGGTTTAAAAGGTTTTTTTTATTCCCACCTTCCAAAAGAGGATTTATTTCTTCCCTGCCGAGAAAGGGAAATGCAGAAAAATGTTGTTTCCTTGGAGGAAACAAGTGCTCAGATGGGTTTTGGGGAGAAACCAGTGTTTCTGCAGGTTCTGCGGTGCAGCTGGCCTGCCCTCTGCCCAGTGACTGTATGAAATAGTCCAAAAATCAAGAATTAAGGATGTGCAGGCTGGAGTTTATTTGGCTCATGAGTCAGATGATGCTTCCTCTGTGTTTTAAATATTTACTTTCCTGAAGTACAGCTATATCTCTGTCCTCTTTTTTTTCTTTCCCCCACGCCTTGTGGGTAGAAGCTCGGCGATTAGCAGACCATGCTAATGGTGCAGATGGTGCAGAATTGAGATGGCCTCTAAATAAAAAAATCACAGTGTTTCATTTGCAAGGTTTTTTTGGTGTTGTTTAATTTCCTTTCTGCTTCTTTCGGCAGGTCCTGGATGACCCCAGCGAGGACCACCTGTACATGGGTAACTGCCCACCGCTCTGCAGCGCTCGCGGGGTGTCAGGGGATTGGGGTTTGCCGGGGCAAAGGGTTTCCCCCTGTGTTTTGGGGCGGCTGCGTGCGAGGTTGGGTCTCTCCTTGGAGCGGCTGTGGCCTGGATGTGCTGGAGGAGCAAATCCCCTCTAGCAGTCGGAGCAAACAGGATCCACTCTGTGTTGAGAAAGGAGACAGGCGTGCTTTATAGCACTTTATAGGCTTTAATTCAACATCAGGGCATGCTTTGCCATGAAAGGTACCAGCATTTATGTTCTCGGCTCTGAAGCTGGGCTGCTAGAAAGTAGCTTTGTTTCTTTGGCTTCGAGAACAAGGCACGTGTTAATTATCCATGGTACAAATGAGCTCCTTCCCAACCTGTCTTGCAGACCGCAGCGGTTTGCTTGATGTAAATACACACACTTTTGGAGGGGGCATTTCTTTTCCATCATTTCTGTTCAGCCTGTACTAGCGGAGGAGCGTGCGATGCCTTCATGGCCCAGCGCAGAGGTTTGCTCGGGGCGTGGGCTCAGCCTTGGTTTTGCAGGTAAACTGAGGGTTTCAGTGTGCCATGTGGAGGACACTTCATGATGCTGAAGCTGCAGCACTGAGAAGGTAGTTGGCAGCATTCCTTTAATTGGAAATGGAAGCAACCAGAATGCCATGTGCCTTGCATAAGATGGCATCTCCTTTTTTTAAAAAATATATTATTTTTAGAATTTTTGTTATTAAAATAATTGCTTTTGTGCTGAGACTGTGCTCACAGGAGCTCTAACCTGTAAGTGATCCCTAATCACCTTCTCTTTTGCGTTTCAGTGTTTGAACTGGTGAAGCAAGGGTGAGTATTGAATTCCAGATTTCAACCTACTAAAGCATGAACGTGAGACGGGTTGGCGGGTGCCACAGCTCAGCCGCCTGAGGCGGGTGCGGGACGCAGAGGTGATGGGGAGGTTCATGGTGCGGAGGTTCATGATGCTACCCTGCGTGTTTGGGTAGCATCTCCCCAACCCAGTTACAATTGCTGTTGCCTCCGGGACCTGTTTCAGTGCATCGGGATGGGGAACGAGCTCCGTTCTCTGTTGCCTTTGCAGCCCCGTGATGGAAATCCCAACCCTGAAACCTCTCAGCGAGGACCAGGCTCGGTTCTACTTCCAGGATCTGATCAAGGGCATTGAATACTGTGAGTGTCTGTGCAAAACGGATGGGATTTCTTATTTTTATTTTTCTCTAAACACCTGGGGCTGGACTTTCTGCTGGTGTACGGTGCCATTTCTGGTGGCTCATGCTACTGCGCAGGGGTTTTTGAAGCTGGGGCTGGTCATGGTGTTAGCAAAAGGCTTACAGCCGTGCAGGGGCTTCGTGGCTCCTCTGCTGCAGACCAGTGCTGCTGCTGAATTGCGTGTTTTTCCTTCGGCTGCAGTGCACTATCAAAAGATAATCCACCGGGATATTAAACCTTCCAACCTCCTCGTGGGGGAAGACGGGCACGTCAAGATCGCTGACTTCGGAGTGAGCAATGAGTTCAAGGGCGCCGATGCCCTCTTAACCAACACGGTGGGCACCCCCGCCTTCATGGCCCCGGAGACGCTCTCAGAAACCAGGAAAATCTTCTCTGGAAAGGTATTTAATAGCCATTTGAGGAGTTTTGAGCTAATCTTCGTTGTACACGCTGTCTGTTGCAGATCTAACTGTGCTTTCTTTGCTCTGCAGGCTTTGGATGTCTGGGCCATGGGGATCACACTGTACTGCTTCGTGTTTGGGCAGGTAACAAGACTGATTTTTCAGTGCTGTTGGTGGCCCAGGGAGGGTTTGGCGTGTGCCTCCCATGTGCCAGGATTTGCACCCTGCACCCCCGCTTGAGCAGTCGGGTATTGCTGAGGGGAGACGGGGATGGGTGGGTGGAAATGGGAAATCTCTGCCTGTCCGTGGGATGGGCCGTGTTTCTCTTTTTTTCCCCGGGGGAAAAATTCTGTGCCTGGCCAGATTTTTTAGGAAAGGAGCTGTTGTAGTAATTCAGTCATTCTTTTAGTCAAATGTTTTTTTCATTGCATTTAAAAGAAGACATTGATATAATAGGAACTCTTCTGGTATTTTCCTATAACTTGCTCTCCTTCAAACCCTATGAGATCCCAATACTCGACTGACTGCCCCACTGCTGCTTCTTAACCGAGGTTGTTGCTTTTCTCATTGCTCTTTTTCTTCACGATAGTGCCCTTTTATGGATGAAAGGATCCTGAGTTTACACAATAAAATCAAGACCCAAACGCTGGAGTTTCCAGACCAGTAAGTACTCAAAAAAAAAAAAAAAAACCAAACCCCAACCCTCAGCCTTTATTTTAAAGCTCATTTGAGTCATTTCTCAGGCACTGCCCGGGTGGGGCTGGCCCTGCTCCGCTGTGGTTTTGCAAAACTCAGGCTCTGAGCCCTTCTTTTGGCCCTTGGCCCTGGAAAACTTTCTTGCATTAAACATGATAGCAACATCTCCTGGTTTGCAGTTGCCGAAGAAGGAGTGATTGAAGTTTCAGAGGCGTTTGAGGGAATGGATTAACCCTTGCAGTTGCTGCCTGTTGGGTTTTAGCCTGGGTGGAGTTGGTGTTGGGCTCTCCCAGCCCCCTACACGTGGGATCATGCTTGAGATTGCCCAAAAAGGGGATATTTTGCTTCCCTGAGGGGTTTGGAGAGGAGAGGCTGTGTGGCACTTGGGTGCACGAGTACCCGGAGCTGCATCCCTGCCAGGGCTGGGGTCCAGCCCCAATCTGCCCGGGAAGGCCCACGGTGGCTGGCACTGGGGGGTGAAGAAGGGAGGCAGCATCCATCCCCTTCCCCATCTCATCTCTCCCCTCTCCTTTCCCCAGGCCAGAAGTTACAGACTTCTTGAAGGACTTGATTACACGGATGCTGGATAAAAATCCTGAATCTAGGATTTCGGTCCCAGAAATCAAGGTACTGACCCAACCCCTTGGTGTTGGCTGTGGCTTCACTTCTGTTGGGTTCTCCTTGCTCGGCTTTTTTTGGGAGTCAGTTTGATCGTGCCAGGCTAGGTCCTCCCCCTGTGCCCAGGGCCCCTGGGCAGGTAAGTCCCAGCTCCTTCCCCTGCTCCGGGGACCTGCTCAGCTTTGGGACCTTTGGTGCCTACAGAAGTCAGGCAAAAGGAAATCCCCTGAGTACAGTATTTCCTCTGCTACCAGGAAAGTACTGTGCAACAGCCTTTCGCAGGAGATTTCTGGTCCTCTGCCCCTGCAGGAGCCTGGAAGGGGCGAGAAGCTGAGAAAATGGAGACTAAGGTAGGGGGAAAGGTTTGCGGGGGAATTGCTTAACCGTGTTGTGCTCCTCCTGCAGCCATCCAAGACACCAGGTGTGTGGGCAAGGTGAAAGAGGGGTTTCTGCCTTCTGTCGTGGATTAATTCAGGTCCAAGACTAGGGCTCGGCGGGTCTCCCCGTCACTACTGCTCATACATATGGGCTGGAATAAATCGCTCCTGCCTCTTGGCGCTGCCTCATCCGTAAGATGAGTGTGAAAATAAGTCTTCTTCCCTAAAATCCGCTGAGATGCCCAGTGCTGTAGGTCACCAAGGTTATTGCTCAGTTGCGTAGATGGGGCCAGCGCTGGCTCCGGATGAGCCGCACTGCGACATTTTCTCCTCCGGGCTGAGCCGTTCCTGGTGGCTCCAGCGTGAGCTGGCTCACCAGTGAGATGGCATATCTCTCCCCTGCTCCCTGGTATTTCAGGAGCACACAGGGCCCGTAGCTTGGGCGAGGAGATGCGTTTGCCAGGCTTGTGTTGTTTGAGTTACGAAAAAGAGGAAATCGTTCCTGACAGGCTGTGTTATTAATTGAAGTTGCACCCTTGGGTCACCAAGAACGGAGCGGAGCTGCTGCCCACGGAGGATGAGAACTGCACCCTCGTCGAGGTGACGGAGGAGGAGGTGGAGAATTCGGTCAAGCACATCCCCAGCCTGGCCACCGTGGTGAGTACGAGGGAGGCCGATGGTCTGCGGGCACACACTGGGGTCCACGCTGCCTCCCAGGGCGGTCCCAAGCAGCTGGAGGTTGCTGCAAAAGTGTTGGGCAGGATTAGAGCAAAGACCTTCCCTCTCTCGGAAAAAAGTGCTGCAAGATGCGGTCTTAGCATCTCACTGGAGGTGGCCGTACCCTGAGGTGCAGAGGAATAGTTCACAGCGGTCCCGAAGGGACCCATCAGTGGGTTGCCAGTCTCCACGCTTCAGCTGGCTGCCTAAATATCATTGTATTTGCTCAGGGCAAAAGAGCATCTGGTCCAGGACCTGGCTGCGGCTGGGAGCGGGTGTTTTGGCCAGACACAGGGAGCTCCTGCCCTGCTGTGCCTGTCCGGCCATAGGAGCTGCAGGAGCTTCCCAGGATGGAGATTTTATCTGGGCCACAGTGTGCGCCAGCCCCCGCCTGGAGCTATTCTTGGTGAATTCATCTCATCTCTTTTCAAGATCATATTTTTATGCTCTGCAACCCACTGTGGTGGTGAGAACCACAGCGTAACCCTGCCCTGTGTGGAAAGTGAAATCCTTCTGGGTTTTGAACCTAATGATTTCTTTGGGTGCCTGCTAGCCCTTATGCTAGGAGAAACAGCAAGCGACCATGCGCAGTTCCCTGGCGCGACGTTATCTGCCTGTAGACACCCAGGCTGTGATTCTTTGAAGGACAGGTCTCCCTTTGAAGCCCCTTTTCCATCTTGTGGCTGTGCCCACATCTGGCTCCATTTCTGGAGCTCTCTCCCACTTCGGTACCCTGCAGAAGTCTCTTCAACCGCAGGTACGTTAATATGCAAATGTGCCTTGTGCTGCTCAAGCTGAAAAAGCGGATCTTGCTCTGAAGAGATCACCGTTGATGGGGGGGTTTTCCCCTTTCTCCTGTTCGGAGGTGACTTGCTGCGATGCAGCAGAGGATGGCTCAGTGCTCCTGACCCCGTTGAAAATCCAGGTGTGTTTAGCACAGCTCAGGGCAAATGAGCTTTTACTGCGACTCTTGCCTCTTAAATAACGCACCGCCTCCAGGCAGATTTGTATTTTGCCATTTCCATTTGTTCTTCAAAATTACCCTCCGGTGCCTGATCTCTGTGCATCCAACTGCAGGCGTTAACGCTCGAGTACGAGATTCGAGTATGAGATTTCACGTGGCTTTGACTCTCTCATAAAACGCCTTCCCCTGCGGGACCCTGCTGGCACACGTGTTTCAGAGGTGTAGGGGCTCTGAGTCCACCGTGGTGAGCAGATAAATAAGGCACAGAGGGACGAGAAGCAATATGGAAGGAAGCCAGGGGTTCCCAGAGCAGGATGCACATGCTGAGGCAGGGTCCTGTGCTGCTCATGTTGTTCTCTGCTCCCACCTGCAAAATAAGTTGGGGGATGCCTGGGAAGAACCCCGACACTTGCTGTGTTCCCAGCAGTCTCCGACTGCAGCTGATGCTGGGTGACTTTGTGTTTTGCAGCCAAAGCTAGACAAACGGCCAGTTTTTTCAGCCTGGTTTTGGTAAAGGTTAAGGCAAAATTGTGCCGGTTCCTTCCTTCCCCTCTCCCTTTCCAATGAATTCTTCTGCCAGGTAATCACGGGGAACTGGGAATTTGCAGGTACTGGATGCAGTAATCAATAAAACCTGCTTTTAGGAGGAGAAAATCTTCCCAGACCTGGCTTTGCTCTCCTTTTCAGCCTCTCACTCTTAGCGTGGCTCTCATCTGCATGTTCAGTTGTTGCACCGTGGGTTTCGGATGAGGATACAGCCCACGTCTTAAGCAGTTGGAGACTTGTAAACATGCTTCCTCTGGTTTGCTTTTGTTGTTGTTTTTTTTTTTTTAAGAATTTTTACTTACTTTCACTAGTTTTCTTAATTACTTGGGCATGAGGGTTGGATGTTCCTGTTGCTCTTGAATGAAAGGAAAGCGTCCGTGACGACTCCAATCTGGTCTTGCAGATCTTGGTTAAAACGATGATCCGGAAGCGATCCTTTGGGAACCCGTTCGAGGGGAGCAGGAGGGAGGAGCGGTCATTGTCTGCCCCCGGGAACCTGCTGCCGTAAGTGTCACCGCCTCGGCCCGACAAGATGTTTGCAGCTTGTTTTGTGCTCTGGAAATCGCTGCAAAGCACAGGAGGAGAATTTGAGGAGTTGGGCTTTGAATCTTTTGTGTGGGGCCATGACTGGGCTGTTCACACACCCTCTGTCTGACCGGTAACCGCTTTGTGGGATGATTTTTGTGACATGGCATATCCTGTCCCTCCGATGGGCTGAAAAGCATCTTTTTATGGTACTTCCAGCCTGTTACAAGGGAGCTGGGGGGAGACGACACATGCTCAGGGGCCCAAAGGTCCCATGGTGGGGAAGGGGCAGATGCTGGGGTCTCATTGTCTGCTTTGCCTTTTTCCGAGTCACTCAGCAACTGTTTTATTTCCTTTTAAAGCAGGAAACAAGGCAGTGAAGATAATCTGAAATGCAATGATTTGCCCAACGTGGGAGAGGAGGAACTTCTTTCATGAACATCGACTTTACGGTTCTGTTGAGCCACTTGGGTCTGGGGCGCGTTATTACAGCGTGCAGCTGAGGATGAGCGACATTAACAGAGCCTACACCAAACACAGCATGACGTGGCACTATTTCAGTATAATGCTGGATGTAGAGCTTACATAGCAGCATGTTATAAGACATCCGACTGCTTGTCATAAACATTGAACATCTCCGATCGCTTGGACTGCTGACTTCTTGTGAGAAAGGTGCTGGCTGATAGCAGAGAGGTGAGCTATCGTGTTGAGCAGCAACAGTGCTTTGAAAAAAAAAAAAAAAAAAAAAAAAGGCAGTCAAACAAAAATGCATTTGGAACTGCTTTTACCTGGGTTTAATGCCAAATAATTTGCAGGGACTAATGGCAGCATCCCAGGGGTGTTGTATGCCCATCGCGTAGTCGGTGGGCACGCAGAGCAGGGTGAAGCGTTTGCCGAGTGGCATCCACAACAGTCCGACTACACGTGCACACTTTGAGAGTTCACGACCTACCGGAAATGTTGTTGCATCTATTTCTCGTCGTTCTGGTTTGTTTTTAATTGACACCTTTTTAACTGCATGGGAACAAAGCAAAAACCCACCTTTTCAGCTTTTTAAAGAATGCCTACCTTTGTGAGCCACGTTGTATTAAACAGCATCTTCGGGACGTTCGGAAAGTGAGGTTAATTATCGCCAAAGGTAATTAACGCCTTTCCTAAGGTCTTGGTGTGAGTAGGACTTGGTAAGTTGAGTATTCAGGGTATGAAAGGAAAAGGTATCTAAGGGCTTAAGTTCAGTCTGAACTATTTTTGCTGCAGACGTACGAGTGAAAGGTGGTGTTTAGCCGAATGTTTGTTTTGAACAGCAGAGGAAGCACTAACAAGTTTTGTTTCTAAATCTTTTACTTGATCTAGGTACATATATAATTAAATATAAAATTCAGGGTAAAATCCTTCACTTCCATGTACATTACATGGTTTACTACAATTAAAAATAATACAACTTATGCTATTTTTTAAGTATAGACTTAGGGCTTGCTTAGAATTTAAGATCTCGATGAAATACTTAGATTAGCTAGTAATTTTCAAAGAAACTTTTGTTTTCCAAACTCTTAATCTGGATTTTGGGGCCAATGCTATGTATTTTTTGCAAGTTCGTTACCAGTAATTTGTGAATGCCTGTGGATCAGAGGCTTGTCAGTAAATTAAGTGTATACCTAATTCATGGATTGTTTCTTATGAAGAGCTCTTTCACCTTCAGTCAGATTACTCTGATTATTTTGTGGTGCTTGTAAAAAAAAAAAAAAAAAAAAAAACACTCTCGGG